AATCTAGGTGGGTAAAATTGATTTTTACACGTTTCCGATTGTGTAGTTGCGCAAGTGATATTTTGCATTATTTTGCAACATGTATACGAATATCGTATATTCTAGGAAATTCTACATCTGCCTCGGTGTCGGAGCTATCACTGTGGTTCTCGGACTCATTCCTGTCTATCTGCGAGCTTCGCCGAACCGTATGTAGCGCTTCTCTTATAATTCGTCTGATACCTAACGCCGCTTCTCATTTTGATCGGTTACAAGGAATGGCGTATCCAGGATTTTTTTAGAACTGGGCAGGGCTCTTCTGTTGACCGGGCAATATGAACAATTCAAAAGCCGACTGGGCTATTGTTTCTTAACATGCTCCAGGGGTGAATCTAGTCTTCAAACACAGAGGGTAAAAAGTTTCCGCTACAGATGTATAATATTTTCCACGCCGCTCTTTTGGTAGCCAGCTTTTCTGAAAAATGCCGCGAAACAAAAAACATTTTTTTCACTTGTTTGAAATCTACACTTTTTGACGGAAAGTCGTTGAATTATCAATTCAGTATCTGTCGTCAACAACATACCGCCGAAGACGGCCCCTTTTTGGAACAGAATTAAAAGTTTGATCGAAAAAAAATAGAAATTCAATGAATGGGAACTTGGTTTTTAGGGTGACAACAACAAAAGTGTCTTCTTTATTCTCAATCCTGAAAGGATGAGTCTTCGCACCGTTAAATGTCTGTCTGTTCGTTCGCGTTATGATTGGTCGAAATCGATCATCCAGTCAGAATCGAGCTCCGATAGAGGACACTACGTCTAGCTGTATGATACGGTTTTCTCGGTTTTTCTTCGACCAAGGAAACTTTCGGTTGAATTTCGGTCAATCGACGAGGTTACTTTCCCTAATCGAGCTTGCTTTCTCGTGTGCCTGAGCTTCTTGAGGAAGAAACTCATGCGCTAAAGACACTTTTTGTGGTCAAGGGAAGTCATACGCATGAGAACAAAGTTTGACTAGGGGTGGCTATTGCCATTTAGCTTATTAGGTCTTTTTTATTCTTTTATCGCAAACGGGTTTTTTTGTGCAAATAATCGGGACCGGGCTCACATAATTGTAGGTGTTACCCTGAGTATAACCTAACCATCTAACCCGTGGAGCTGATGAAACGGTCGTGCAGAAATATTTCAAGAATATACCGCGTTTTTCGTGCTGCCTCGATCGTGAGCGAACCCCAGCTTTTGTCGTGCAAGCAAGAAATACATGGGAAAAGAATTCTGCTGCCTCATTCATTTGTTCCCATTCGTCATGCTAATCAAAGAGAGACACTCTGTCCAAGAGTTGGGTCTAACCTTCCATAGTATTATGGTGAAACTTCTGTCTGAAGGATTTTTTGAGTGTTTACGTGTATTTTAATTGAATCTGAACGCATTCGACTTAGTGCAGACGTTTGGTAGACGTGATCATCAATCTATTAGTGAGAGTTCATCAAAAGCTGAGATTTATTAGCTGGAAAAATGGGTGCCATAGCAAGATTATTTTCCGGTTGGGCAGTTGAGTGTACTCTACTATCGATTGCAGTCTGAAGCTTCTTTCGACGAGGAAAAATGTATGCTACTACCAGTATGTGGGCAGATAAGCGAGAGATAGGAAAGGGGAGAGGAGCGATAAACCATACATTGTGCAACCGTGAAAGAGTGGAAAAGGACAAAGAAGGGATTAGATGGAGGATTTTAGCGAATGAGAGACTCAATAAATGCGAGATAAAAGTATAGAACGAAGATGACAGAGAAGCCGGAGCAGTATAGACACTAAAGAGATCAAACGAGAGGACAATGAATGATTAGAGCGACTGGAATAACAGGAAGGAAGAAATAAGAGAAGGAAGAAAGAAAGAGAATTGTGACGAAATGTCTTTCTCTGTTGTGTCAAAACTACGATTAGTAAGAAGATGGGTGACCACTTCCCAAGATCGAACCGTAAGTATGGGACTTTTCACATTTGTCTTAACAGTTGCTGAGTGAAAGTTGCTAGATACAGTTTAAGTTTAAACGGATGAATTATTTCTGATAGAATGAAATGAAATACTTAATGTAGAAAAGCAGAACATGTGCATTGTACAATAATATCGTGCTTCGCTTCCGTGGTGTGAAAGCTATTGCTCTTTGTTCGATAAGAACAAGGAATAATAACACCCTCATACGGTGTGAACGGAGTTGTGTTGCTTGTTGTGCCTTAACTCTGTCTTTCTCTAGGGAAATCACCTGACGAGACCCTTGATAAGCAAGAATAGAATTGTTAATGTGCTTAAGGTCGAATGGCAGGGCAAGGAAGAAGTGGCTGAGGGCGGCCAGATAAATACAAATTTATAGAAAGAAGAGCGGACAAGTAGACAGGAAGGCATAAAGAAACAAGAGATAACCATCAGAGGCTTTTCAGATAGAAGACAGCCAGGATCAGAGACAAAATCACTGCATCATGAATTAGATTGGATATTTAAATTACAGCAACAAAAAACAGTGTAATTAATTATTCAAAACGATCAATGGTATAATAAAGTAGGAAATGATAATTCATTTCATCAAGTAAAGATCCAATCAAAACCGTTTTCAGTATGATTTTAAGCAATAAATCACACCGGAATAATAGTACACTCTTGCCATTTTACGGAAGTTTTCTATATACAATAGATTCAATTACCAATCACAGCTTCTGTAGCTCGGTGTTCATAAGTGTCGTAAGAACCACAGAAGCTGTTCGTGGATTGGATCTTATCGATAGATACTCGTGTTTTTGATATTATACGAGCGGGATCCGTGCACTTTGCACAGCTGTTTTTCCCTCACGTTTTATTCATTAACCTCTAAAACACTTAAACTTTCATTCTGTAACAGATACGCATTCAACATTAGATGTGTAGATTTTTAACTTCCATTATTGTAGAAGCCGAAAAGTCGACAACTTCAATCAGCTTTTTTTGGCTGTTCAGATTGTCCTTTATCGTTAACAGCAACCAATGACTGAAACACGCAAGTGAGACTTAGATATTCACAATCCGATCCGACATTCTGGAATTGAATTGTACGAAGTTGAAGGAAGCATAGTGACTAAAAATTGTTATCAAACATCTGTGTTCATTGAATTAGAGAAGTGAAGTTTAACAAAGCCTCATGTTGCGACGAAGGTTCAATACACTTCTACGGAATAACTATGTGCTTTGTATTGAACAGAGTGGAGTGCGAGATGGAAATGCGCGACTGGAAGCTTCCGTGTATTAACAAAACCACTTTTCTCGACCTGCACTTTGTCCGAATTTTTCAACACCATTCCAAATTATACGATCACTCATCTTCTGCTTGGTTGTGGCGACGATCTTTGTCTACCTATCTCTTTCTGCTAGCGACAACGGGCACTGCTTTGTAGTATATCTTATCGACAGAAATAATGAAGGTGAAGTGGGATAGTAATCATCGAGTAGATTGACGACAGTGACTCAGATTCACCTTCAGAAAACTAAGAGATTCTGGAGACCCAGAATAGATCGGTCCTGATAAGACAGGGTGTTCCAAAAATCCGTCGGGAAAAAAACTTGAATGAACTTGAAAACGTCAACGATTCGAGCGATTTACATGAGCTTTTCATTATTTCACAGGATGTTCTCTGAAGTTTTATTTCATCTATGAAATAAAACTTTAAAGGATATAGAATCAAATTATTTAAAAAATCATGTAAATAGCTTGAACTGTTCAAGAGCTATTCACGTTTTTTTCACGATTTTTGGAAAACGCTGTACACAAAACTTAAAGAAAAGGAATTTCTAGACGAAATTTAGTCCATAAATAGGTCGAATGGTCCTTAAAATATCCTGAAAGTTTCAGCCAAAACGCATGGTCCTTTCCTGGGATACTGGATCAGAAAAGAACTGTCGGTTTTGGCTGAAACTTTTAGCACATTCTAAGAACCATTAGACCTTTTATGGACTAAATTTCACCTTGAAATTCTTTCCTCTGAGTTTTCTAGCTATTCACGTTTTTTCCCGTCGGATTTTTGAAGCACCTGGGAGATGCTTCGACAGCTTTGAAAGATCGAATAATATTCCGAGGCAACAAAGATCTGAGACCTATTCTTCGCCAATATCAACTGGAAATCGACCCGATAATGCGCTTTTTGCTTGTTTCTCATGTGCTTTCAGGATTGAGCTAAGCGAGGCCCGTTGGGCCGATGCATTACTTGTGTTTTTGAGAAATACACTCATTCAATAGAGAATTCATTATTTATGAAGGACTTTGCCTTGGCGCAATATTTGTTAAATTGAAATTGTCTGTATTGCAGTTCCGTTGAGCAAACATGAAGATTTGCAAAATGTGTGACCAAACTAGGATTCGAACCCAGGATCTTGGTATTCCGTGTCTATATTCTAACCACTGAGCTACCTGGTCTACATCTCTATCGGTTACAAGGGTGTACAAGTCGTTTATATACCAGAAGATAGAACCGGAAGCGCTACGAATTGGTGTAAAATTCATGCTATTTCGGTTAGAGCCGACCTGTCAAACAACAGGCGACATACTGCGTAAAATGACTGGAAATCAATCATGTAGTCGGCGTTTACTGCTCTATAAATGATGACTTATCACAAAAAACTGAGAACTGCTTTCTATAGATCTGATCTCGGTCTTCTTGTGACATAGCCAGTCAGATTCAATATCTTTACATAGATTGATGAAGACAAGAGGTCGAAGCTAACGAATATTTGAGGCTCGAAGGCGAATTGCTCATTTTCTTCTTAAAAATTAAGTGACTGCTTTGTTAGTTTTCCAGTTATACCATTCGGTTCTGCTTTGTCCGAGGATCAAGAATATTCTCTTATTTTACAAAAAGACAATGAAAATGAGAAAAATCAATTTTAAGACCAAAACGATCAATAACGTATACAATGATTTTTCAATGTCTGAAATCTTTTGGGCAGAGGCATACACTTTTTAAAGATCGACATAGTATTAATATAAAGTCCTGACTCGCGCGCATGTTTTGGCATAAGGCCCAAGTACGTTCTTCTTTCCTTTAATTTTTTACAGAAGCTTTTCTGACGCCTGCTAAATCCAAGACTTGCATTTTTTTCGAAAATCTTTTTTTTCTAGCATCAGTTAGGTTGAGAATTTTTATTTTACACATATAATAAAGCTAATTCATTGATGAACAAAATCCAATCGGAAGTAAAGCTTACTTCTTAATAGTTAAAGAGAAAGAAAGTTTATACTGAGACAATGTCAAAATTGACTAAAACTTTATATTTTCGCTTTCTCTTAAATATAAAGAATTAAATAAAAACAAAAGGACTAAAAGATGCGCGATAAAATTCTCTACAAAACCATACACTCGGTTTGTTGGTTACTTGTAATTTTGAAATCCGGCAGGGTCCTTTCACACTGAGAACTTTGGTCCAGAAGGACACTGAATTGACGGTTCAACAAAAGAATGTTTGATGCATTCTCAATGTCGGAGCTCGTGGTTCGTCGATAAGGAGGGTAACATCGATGGAAATGAGGACTTATTCTCAAGACGAAGCTTTGTTTCATTTCAGCATTGAGACCTGTTCCTGACATTGGGGCTAATGACACAGGGACGCAGATCGGTACTACTGTGGCTGGGGGCAATGGACAAGGCAGTGGATTCAATCAACTCTGGTTCCCAAGCGGATTGTATGTAGATGATGATCAAACTGTCTATATCGCTGACTACGGGAATAGCCGTATTATGGAATGGAAGTCTGGTGCGACCAGTGGCCAACTGGTTGCAGGGGGAAATGGACAAGGAAACCGGACAGATCAGTTGAGTTATACAACAGATGTGATTGTTGGTCAAGAGAAAGATAGTCTCATCATCTGTGACAGAGAAAACCGACGGGTTGTGCGATGGCCTCGTCAACATGGCACAAGTGCAGAAACAATCATCTCGAATATCTATTGCTGGGGCTTGACGATAAAGGACAATGGATTTCTCTAGATATCTGACACTGAGAAGGGTGAAGTGAGACGATGGCGAGTGGGAGAGACTCGTGGGACAGTGGTGGCGGGTGGCAATGGACAAGGTGATCGTCTCGATCAGCTGAACACTCCTCTCTTCGTCTTTGTCGACCTAGATCATACAGTGTACGTGTCGGATTTCGGCAATCATCGTGTGATGAAATGGGAGGAGGGCGGAAAAGAAGGCACTGTTGTGGCCGGTGGTCGAGGCAACGGAAATAGTCTCACACAGTTGTCGTATCCTTACGGAGTTGTCTTGGATCAGTTGAGCACTGTCTATGTGGCGGACGGATGGAATCATCGAATCATGCGTTGGCCCAAAGGAGCCACACAGGGAAGTGTCCTTATGGGTGGAAACGGCACAGGAGGAGAAGCGAACCAGTTGTATTACCCAAGGGATTTGTCATTTGATCGACACGGTAATCTCTATGTTGTCGATAACAGCAATGATCGAGTGCAACGCTTCAATATTGAACGCAGTTCTTCGTTGTTGAGACTTGATTTGTTTGGCTATCGAGTAAAATCATGACATAACACCGCTCTAATATGGAAGAAATTGATTTTTCTGTGAAATAAAAGAAATTAATTTTTATCAGTATTTTTCGCCTGCGCACGTACACAGAGATTCTTTTTGCTGGAATACAGAGGCCAACGCCGGTAAGGTAATGTGCGTACGTACATGCTAAGCAAGTTTAAATGAAATATAGAGAGAACGAAAAGAAAAAAATCATTTTCTTTCATTTTTAAACACGCAGATGCCTCATAAAAGCAATCTTTTTCTTTTGTGATCTTTGCTAGAGACCTAATAAAAGTTGTTTGTTTCCTTTATAAATGCAATAGCATCTTAATAAAAGTCAACTGATTTTTGTTTACATTGGTCGACGATCAGCTTGGTCTGAATCAGCTATGTAGTTTTATCAGGACTGAATCAGCGTCCACCAAAATGTGTCTTCTGAGCAGAGCTGGAAAGCTCCGGTTCCGGAGCCGACCCGTCTCCTGGGAGCCGTCTCCGTTTATAAACGGAGCCCGAGCCGGTGTGCGGATGATGATATACGCGTTCGATCGAGGTAAAGATGATACTCTTAGAGATAGATAGAAAGATGATAGTTATATGAGTATGTGCGCTGATGACACGTTAATATATGCTACCTCAGTCTTGACCTTCTTCTATTAAATGTAAGGCTTTCGAAAGAAGATTTTTTATGTATATATATATATCATGCAGTTATAGATTTGTACTTCAAAACGATTTTCAGAAGAAACAATAGTATGTTTCTCTTTCTCTTTACTTTCTCTCTCGTTTTTTTGGCTCGAAACAGACCTTGACTATTATTTTCATTTTTTATTCTCTCTCTATATCATCGTACAACATGGTTGTTGACTATCCATATCTGAATTCGCATGCTCTTCGACTTTTGTGTGTGCCTTCAACATCAGCGCCTGTTGGACGCGTATTTTCTATGTGCGGTTTCGTAATGCGACCACACAGAGGAAGTCTTACAAAAGAAATGTTGGCGAAATTAACATTTTTCAAGTGTAACTCTGATCTTCTGCATTAGATATCTTTCGTTTGCTATTCGTTTGTTTTCATTTGTATTATTGTTTTGTATTTTTCCAACAAGGAAAGATGAACATTTTTTTTTGGAGCCGGAGCTGGGAGGAAGCGAAGCTGCCCAGCTCTGGACCAGTGTAAAGGTAATGGCATGAAAATAAAGTAGATACTTTGGACACAGAAAAATATCGACGAAGAAACGGTCGATTTTGCTAGAAAACATTTATGTAGTGGCGAATGACCAGAGGCACAAAGAAATTTTGAAAGAAATGATCTATGTCAGATATGTACTTTTCTTTGTTTTAATGGTATCTAAAGAATATGATTATCTTTCTCTGAATTATTAAAGGAGGTATGCTGTGGCAAGTGATGATGCATTGGCGTTCTTTGGACGAAAAATAACATGTGTGGTTTTGTCGCCTTTTCTGTAGTATTTTCTGGAATATTTTCGGGTTTGTTTACGCGGTTGAATAGAGTTAAATCTCACGAAGCTAACAGAAAAATGGATTATTTGATTTCAACAATTTCAACAATAAATAATCTTTTTTTCTGTTAGCTTCGTGAGATTTAACTCTATTCGACCGCGTAAACAAATCCGAAAATATTCCAGAAAATACTACAGAAAAAGCGACAAAAGCAGACATGTTATTTTTCGCCCTATTTAAAAACCTAACTTTTGAACCTATTTTTCACAAACTTTAGTTTTCTAACTATAAAAGTAGTAAAACGTTCTGAATTCAAGTTTAAGTCTTATTATCTTACAAAGAATTAAGTTCCGTATCTTTTGATATATAAACAAAGTTTCTCTATTGAAACCACTAACTGACAGACTTAATTTAATTTAAAAAAATTGAAAAGCCAGTTGAGAGCTCATTATGAGTCCAGCGAAAACATTGTACGAAGTTGTGAATGAGTGAGATCGATAGAGCATAAAATTCTCTAACTTTGTACGTAGAAAAATTAACTGTTGAACATCAGGCAATGGGCTAAAAATCAAAACAAAGGAAACGACAGAAGCACGTCGCAGTTCGACAACGCGGCATCATTCAATATTTTGAATGGTGCTCAAACGAGAAAAATTGAATGAGCCCAGAACCAACTCTTTGGATCACTGGGAAACGCCTCAAGAACAAAGAGCGGAAGTGTCGGTTTTATCTGGGCCCACCCGTTAGACTTGTTTTTAGCGGGACCAGTAAGTACGGTGCTTAATAAGAATACAATAGACGATATTCTCAGCTATTGAACTATTGAATGACACAAGCAATTTCTCAAAAGGCACATGATTTAAATCTGGATAAGTTCTGTCTCACAAAGCATTCCGAAATTATGTAGGTCAGGCAACAAAAAAACTTTCTTTCGCCGTCCGTTGAAGTAGGGTGCACTATATGGGCAAGTTCTTCGCTGTTTTGAGTGATAAACTGAAAAGAGGAATTTTCAGTTTATCACTCAAAACAGAGAAGAACTTGCCCATATAGTACAAATGAAGCTCATTTTATCAAGTTCCGTATAGGTGGGCTTCCTATAGACTGTAGTATGAAAATGATTACCTTTCAATGAACGTACAACTGTTACATGTAAAAATGGTAATGTGTTGTCATTTTCCATTTGAAACGTGAATTTTATATCTGAATGAAAAGAATTTAAGACTTGAATAATATGACTAATCTGAGTAGATGGTTTTTCTAAGTGAGCCATGAATATATCAGCTATCACCGGTGCTAAAGCTGCGCCATCGCACACCCGTTGTGTTGTACATAGAGTTTATTATCAAATACAAAATGTGTCTCTGTTGTTGCTATTCACGATACCATATCAAAACTCTGTCTGCTTTTACATTTCTGGCACATTTTCTTCTTAGAGTTTGAACATGTTTTGATACAAGTAGGTTACATTTCATCCAATATAAGTTCTAATTAGACTAGTATTAGAAGAAGTACAATTTGTAAACAGTAACATTCTTGGAACAAGAATCATTATCGTTTATTTAGGGTAAATTATGTGTCGTCTGCTGTTGTGTATCTCCAAAGTTGATTTTACTTTG